TCAGGAAAAGGTGTGTTCCTCTAAGTCTTCCTAACAATATGACCAGGTTGCGAAAATAAGGTCAAGCAACTTCAATATATAATTTAGCTCATTAATTTAAAAAATCGTTAATCAAATCTTTATTCAATATGTCATATATAAACTTATTCATTTATTAATTCAATAATCGTTTATGCAATTATACGTTTATTAATATATTCAATATTCATTCATTTAGTCATTCCTTTAATCCTGTAGTTATTAATTCTCACATTTATTTGGTAACTTAACAATGTATCAATTTATCAATTTATGCAATTATTCATGCATCCATTCATTTATTTATTTATTCATTTAATTATTCCTTTTTTCACCTATTAATTTATTTAGGTATTTATTTTTTATTTATATAATCATTTATTCCATTGTTTTTTATTGCTTGTTCACTACTTCATTAATTTATTTTAACTATTTTTTAATTTTACTTTTAAGATGACTCATTTATTTACTCATTTATCCATATATCAATGACGATTTTCTAATATTTTTCTCTGTTACTTTAATTATATATATATGCCTTATTGTCTATCATTTTTTTCGAGGCTTCCAAATTCATTTGGATATTTATATAATTATTGTTTTAATATTCTTCCCATTTGTTATCTTTCTACTTTTCACTTTTCCGCTTAACTAATTATAAATTCATTGCATTATTTAGTTACATATTTTCTAGTTAAATAGTCAAGACATACGTGCATTCATCAGTTGAGCTTGTACTACTGTCCAGAACTTGCATTGTCTATCCCTGGGCCGAAGATCTACTCTTAGCCCCAGGCTGCTGGCCGAGCTCTCGCCGAGGTCGTCGAAGACAAGTAGAGCTTCCGTATGATTATTAAACTCCTGCCAGCTGGGAAGCCTTAAGCCATGTAATCCAGGTGGAACTCTGATATCGAGCTCACGGTAACTTTCTGTGTCCTCTTCAAGAGGCCGACTACTGAATTTGATTACTGCTGCAGAAGGGTCCAAGTCCTCCACAGGGAAAGTCAGAGGCGGAAGAAACTGGCTGATGACGGACGGCTCTTCTTCGTCTATGTACTCGAGGTCGGTGATGTGGGATCCATCTGGCATACGGTTCGGGTCGCTTACGTCAGGCGTGCACAAGAAAGGTGTTAATGGGTATGAGATAAGAAATTCAGAGTTGAACCAAGCTAAAATCTTAATTCCCTTCTTCATACGATAGTGTCCAGAGGTAGGCAATACAGTTCTGCGGCCCAGGACGCTTCTAGTCTTATGGACTTGATGGATGATCCAAGAAATGGTCTGCAGACCAGTTCCATTGGACGGCTCATCACATCATTATGCCATTTAGTATGTACACTTTTGACCTCACTGTCGAAAGGGTGATAGTAAATTAGCTCCTAACCGTACTTTGGATTTTGTACTTGAGTTAATAGGCCTATTCTTGGCACTAAAAGTAGTGCATACTCTGCATTCCAAATACACCAAGCTGATCTTTTGCACCGGCAACTAATTGCAGTATCGATGGGCTGCATTAAAGCTTATAACTGTGGTACTGGGCCAGCGCAAAGACACCTTGACGCTGCGAGACAAAGAAATGCATAGCCATGTCTTGAATAAATAA